ATTTGAAAGTTTGTCCCCGGGAAGGGTCGCTACGCCTCTGGGGGGGTGACAACATTAAGTGCCGCACCGGGTGACACCCGACCTCGCTACGCCACTGTATATATATATATGGTAACAGGAAAAATTATCTCAGGACAAATTATATTTGCAGATAAATTTGTTTTAGCTGAAAAGTCTGATCTAAAGATGCTACAATAATCATCTACTTATGCAGGCTTAAAACGAACGGTACGATTGAAGGATTATATATATATATATATATATATATATATATATATATATATATATATATATATATATATATATATATATATATATATATATATATATATATATATATATATATATATATGTTTTAGCTGAAAATTTCAAAGGTAATAGTGGGGGTGGGGACGCGATATAGCACAGCACAGCTACAGAAACATCAGAAGGTGGTTAGGGCAAGACTTAACTAAACACTTGTTGCTTTTTATTTTACGTAGTTTGCCAACAGTTTTAGGAATGTGATACCTTATGGGAAATAACTAAAAAATTACTAAAAACTAAAAACATTGATATTGAATATCTGCTTAAATGGGATCTAGCGATGTTCAATATCTGATCAAGTGGGATGTAACGATGTCCAGCATAGTCTCTGTCATATGTGTTTGTCATAGATTGATCAGTGCTCTGTCATACTTGCTAGGTGTCAGATACATCGTTGTCGGGTTATCACACTTTGCCTAGAACAGCGTTAGGCATCCTATAGATTGCCTATTCATTATATAAAACTAAAGCATGATCTCTTTAACAACATTCTTTTAAAATAAACCTCTAGAAAAACTCATGGGATAAATGCACAACACACCAAGAGAGTAACACAACGCACCAAGAGAGTAACACAACACACCAAGAGAGTAACACAACACACCAAGAGAGTAACACAACACACCAAGAGAGTAACACAACACACCAAGAGAGTAACACAACACACCAAGAGAGTAACACAACACACCAAGAGAGTAACACAACACACCAAGAGAGTAACACAACACACCAAGAGAGTAACACAACACACCAAGAGAGTAACACAACACACCAAGAGAGTAACACAACACACCAAGAGAATAACACAACACACCAAGAGAGTAACACAACACACCAAGAGAATAACACAACACACCAAGAGAGTAACACAACACACCAAGAGAGTAACACAACACAACACACCAAGAGAGTAACACAACACACCAAGAGAGTAACACAACACAACACACCAAGAGAGTAACACAACACACCATGAACGCAACACAACACAACACACCAAGAGAGTAACACAACACACCAAGAGAGTAACACAACACAACACACCAAGAGAGTAACACAACACACCAAGAGAGTAACACAACACAACACACCAAGAGAGTAACACAAAACACTCCAAGAAAGTAACACAACACACCAAGAACGTAACACAACACAACACACCAAGAACGCAACACAAAACAACACACCAAGAACGCAACGCAACACAACACAACACACCAAGAACGCAACACAACAACAACACAGCACGACATAACAAACTCAACAGGAACAATTAAAACACTACCCAATATAAAAACAAGCAATTGTAGTACATCAAAAGCGGGCATAAATGTTGTTAAAAGTATACTTTTATTAACTTAGAGAAGTATCCTGACAAAAAAATAAATAAAACTAAACCGTCCATAACCAACATGAATCGTATTTAGAGAAATCAGAATTTAAAAAAATTAAAATATTGAACTGTGTTTGGAGAGGACCAATGGCCTACAACAACACAGCACAATGTGAGAGAAAAATAACACATCTGTATGTGACCAACTCCTCAGAAGACAATATTTGGGTAGTATACTAACCTATTAAAATATTTCAAAACAAAAATACTCAAAAAACTATAGCACATAACCTGATGACCACAACTGCAACATATAACCAACACTGAAGCAAATACTTCAACATTTAACTACAACATATAACCAACACTGAAGCAAATACTTCAACATTTGACCACACTTGCAACAATAGTCGAGAAACGTATTGTGGGTGAGTGGTTCAAAATAGTTTTTAAAAAACTTACTTTGGTAACCCAGAGCTACTTGTGAGGCCAACACAGCCAGGACAAGGATGGGGACCATGACGTCTGGCTGGGTAGGCTAACTGTTGGCTGTCTGGCTAGGTTTACTTGCTCACATACAACAATCAGAGTTGGGTTTTATGTGTGTTTGTGACATGCTGTTATCGAACACAACTTTGACCTTCAGCAATACTTCCTTAAATACCCGTTGTAATAAAATTGTAGCTTTTGATGTTCTGGGTGGTCTGTGCAGTTGTTAATGGAATACATTACTAACTTCGTGTAACTGAATATATTATTAAACCCAGACAGACACAGATGTTTGGTTACAAAACTGGAATATGTAAACCTGATAATTTTACAGATCATAAACTTATACTTGTGGGAGCTGAGAACGGATGCTCTTTGAATTTCTAATCAAACAAGTTTTAACCTTTGGGAACTGCTGGGGTGAGGCTCGACCAAAAGAATAAATGTACATGTGAATACCGTGGCCGCCCGATAGCCAGTAAACCATGTGATGTCTATTTAAAAATATCTTTGACGCAGTTTGAAACTCTGAGAATAAAAGTTACAATATTTTTTTTTGAACCAACACTTGCAACTGTCACTTTATGCCGGCCAGACAAACCTACCTCACTGGCCAGTCCGGCAGATTGACCCCCACTGCATGTGAGACTGACCCCCACTGCATGTGACTGACCCCCCACTGCATGCCAGACTGACCCCCACTGCATGAGACTGACCCCCACTGCATGTGACTGACCCCCCACTGCATGAGACTGACCCCCCACTGCATGAGACTGACCCCCACTGCATGTGACTGACCCCCCACTGCATGCCAGACTGACCCCCACTGCATGTGACTGACCCCCCACTGCATGCCAGACTGACCCCCACTGCATGTGACTGACCCCCACTGCATGTGACTGACCCCCCACTGCATGAGACTGACCCCCACTGCATGTGACTGACCCCCCACTGCATGAGACTGACCCCCCACTGCATGAGACTGACCCCCACTGCATGTGACTGACCCCCCACTGCATGCCAGACTGACCCCCACTGCATGTGACTGACCCCCCACTGCATGCCAGACTGACCCCCACTGCATGTGACTGACCCCCACTGCATGTGACTGACCCCCCACTGCATGCCAGACTGACCCCCCACTGCATGAGACTGACCCCCACTGCATGTGACTGACCCCCCACTGCATGTGACTGACCCCCACTGCATGTGACTGACCCCCCACTGCATGAGACTGACCCCCCACTGCATGAGACTGACCCCCACTGCATGTGACTGACCCCCCACTGCATGCCAGACTGACCCCCACTGCATGTGACTGACCCCCCACTGCATGCCAGACTGACCCCCACTGCATGTGACTGACCCCCACTGCATGTGACTGACCCCCCACTGCATGCCAGACTGACCCCCACTGCATGAGACTGACCCCCCACTGCATGTGACTGACCCCCCACTGCATGAGACTGACCCCCACTGCATGTGACTGACCCCCCACTGCATGAGACTGACCCCCACTGCATGTGACTGACCCCCCACTGCATGAGACTGACCCCCACTGCATGTGACTGACCCCCACTGCATGAGACTGACCCCCACTGCATGCCAGACTGACCCCCACTGCATGTGACTGACCCCCCACTGCATGCCAGACTGACCCCCACTGCATGCCAGACTGACTCCCCACTGCATGTGACTGACCCCCCACTGCATGAGACTGACCCCCACTGCATGTGGCTCACCCCCACTGCATGAGACTGACCCCCACTGTATGCCAGACTGACCCCCACTGCATGTGACTGACCCCCACTGCATGAGAGACTGACCCCCACTGCTTGAGAGACTGACCCCCGCTGCATGCGAGACTGACCCCCGCTGCATGCGAGACTGACCCCCGATGCATGCGAGACTGACCCCCACTGCATGTGACTGACCCCCACTGCATGTGACTGACCCCCACTGCATGTGACTGACCCCCACTGCTTGAGAGACTGACCACATGACACACAGATCACCCTATAAATAAGGGGAGAAAACCTGTCCCTTTCTTGCTCACGTGGCTTTCGCCGACCATAATTGTTTTTTTTTTCGTAATTAAAAAATTAATTTTTGTGCATTTTTGACTTGATTGTTGGTTTGTAAAAGGAATACTGCAGATGCGGTTCGATTATCTTTATTCTATAGAAACGATCCAACGCTCTTGTATGTTTTTTCCCTTTGTTTTTAAACCATTGTGAAAGCCGCGTCCTCTTTCTCCTACAATCACACATACGCTGTTGTCGGAAAATATTTTGAAAAAAAAATCTAACGGCCTCTCGCGCAATGGACTTTTGATTCTTTATAACGTTGGTTAGGGGCCTACAATCCATTGTGATTTTACAATGTAAAATTATGTCTATTGTGTTTGGAAGAACTACTATTCTGTACTATCCTGTATCCTACAAATAATCAAATAGAATATTATAATAATTTCGATTTTATGTAGGCCTAGGTTTACTTCTATTTGTTTTACAAGAAATGTGATGGTAAACGAGCATAAGTTGAATTCTCTCCCTTGAATTACAATAAGCTTTAGGAAAAGTAGCTGAGACCATCCCAACTTCGGAGTAGTACATCGGCGCTTTGTTATTCCTTTTAAGTTTCTTCCTCAGCCCCCCCCCCCCCTCCCCTCTCCTGATGGACCCAACTGTACAAATTGGAATCAGTAGTTTCGCAGGAGCTGCCTAAAGGAAACCAGAGTTGGTAAACATATCGCCTAAGGGGCTCCACTCCTGTTTGATTTCGGAATTTTCTCTCCTTGATGGGTTGCTGTCCCCAGCTTACACACCTAACCTGCTCGAGAGTTCGAACGCCCGACCCACACCACCCATACCTGCATCTGCGCCCTGACCCCATGTGGGTAATGTTCCGGTCTGGTGTTTATGTAAATAATCCAGCTGGTTGTAAGATGTTAGTGGAACAAGCAGTGATGTTAGTGGAACAAGCAGTGGTGTAGATAGAAAAAAAAACAGCTAGCCTCCCCTCCCTTCACCCCGGCAAAATAGTTTAAAATATCTATAAATAAATTAATAACCTTCAGATATTTTAATATTTAGACTATTTACCATAGCCTGTTTGTATGTTGCCTTTTTGTAAAAAAAAAAAAACCTGAAGTTTATAAGGAGTTATTTTCTTTGTAATTAATTGTCCTAATGTTTCTGATTTTCATATTTACAACATTTATGAGTTGTTGTTTTTTACTTTCTCGTAAAAAAAATCGAGATTTTTACAAATCTCGACGTTTTACACCTCACTGATACGGAAAAAACATAATTTTGCAATCTTGTCCGTATGTCTGTGTGTGTGTGTGTGTGTCTGTGTATGTGTAAACACGATAACTTGAGTACCGTTACAGCTAGGTTGATGAAATTTCATATATAAGTAATATACCAAAATCGTAGATCCGTTTCAACTTTTGAGCGATTTCCGATAAGCGGAAGTGGTACTTTTGAATTTTTCAAAAGCCTATAACTTGAGTACTATTTCAGACAGATAAATGAAATTTCACGTGTAAGTACAAGATCTAATTCTTTACCTTCTGTAAAATTTTGAGTAATTTCCGTGGACTGGAAGTACTAATTTACGCTATTTCCGATTTCTCAAAAACTCACGTAAGTTTATAAAGTACTAATAATATTCCGCACTATTATGCACATTTTATTTGGCGTTCGCTGGTGTGCAATTATTTTTCTACGAGATTTTATTCTATTTTAAAAAGTTTAAGTATTTAAAATGGATTAAAATTCATGTCTATATCCCGAGTTCACATCCCCTGTTTTTTTTATATAAGAATATTCGAGAAAGTTTAGGGGAGATCACTCCCGGTTTATTAGCGCAATTTCCATTCTGGAGAATTGCGTTTATTAACCCGTCATTTCTGGATGTATGAATGTATGAATGGATGGATGGATGGATGGATGTGTGTCCGCAGCTTTAAGTCGTATCTCCTCCTCAACGAAGCAATATCGATGACTAGTTCCAAAAGCAATTATGTTAAGCAAGTTACGAGGATGAACATAGGCTATAAAAATTCCGGGTTTCTTTCATGGATTTCCCGGAAAAGCCAAAAAACCTCGAAAAAATGCAGTTTTTGGCCCATATCTCGGCAACCAGACCACTTAGCGACTTGAAACATGTACCAATCGATTCCTGCCATAATTTAGAACAATATTGCCGAAGAAAGTTTTCAAAAATATCCTTTCGTTCGGTCACAATTTTTTTTTTAATTAATTAAAATTTGGACCGAATTAGTAGGCATTTTTTCCAACCACACCACACGCGTCATCACGTTCAATAGCTGCACCATCACGTTCTATGGCTTCGTCATCACGTTCAGTAGCTAGGCGTGCAATGGTTTTTAGTCATGTAACTCTATTGTAAATAAAACATGTAAAATACTGAAATTTTTTAAAAATAAAAAACGCTTTAATAACTAACCAATGGTTTTACTAACCCTGCTCTTGATTTACGCTACGACAGAGCTATTTTTAGATAACATAAGGAAATTGCGCTAAAATTGTCACTAGACTTTTTAATTAACTTGTTTACTTATACCGTCAAGATTGGTTTTGCAACTAGTGGGTCTATCTCAGTACTTTGATGAATACTTGAATATGCTGTTGTTTATGAGGTACCGAGACAATAGATGAAAGTGAGTTGTATGGATTTTTCAATAATGAAGTCTAGCAATATTTACTTTGGTAGACAAAAAATAAAAAGAAGAATTTATAAAAATTTTAAAATGTTTATTTAAAAAAATAAATGGTTCAACAATCTATATAATAAATCACTAATTCTGAAACAAACATGTTACAACCAATAAATGAAAGAAACCCTTATGAGACTTGATGCAACAACCTTTATGTCACTATTTACATTTGATGTATGCATTATTTGTATGGAAACGAACGTACCCCACCTGCCCATAACAAGACGACCATGGTCAACGCTAGCAACATTGAGTTGTTTTCTTTCTACGCTAGCAACATTGAGTTGTTTTCTTTCTACGCTAGCAACATTGAGTTGTTTTCTTTCTACGCTAGCAACATTGAGTTGTTTTCTTTCTACGCTAGCAACAGTTGAGTTGTTTTCTTTCTACGCTAGCAACATTGAGTTGTTTTCTTTCTACGCTAGCAACAGTTGAGTTGTTTTCTTTCTACGCTAGCAACAGTTGAGTTGTTTTCTTTCTACGCTAGCAACATTGAGTTGTTTTCTTTCTACGCTAGCAACATTGAGTTGTTTTCTTTCTACGCTAGCAAAAGTTGAGTTGTTTTCTTCATACTCAAATCACGCATGGCTAGAATTTTTATTGAAATGCCAGGAACACATGGAAACAATTTGGGCGATCCAATTTTTGGTTGGGTTTCTGAATTTAAAAAACCTACTAGGAAACCTGTAGTACAAACTGTGTATAGAATGTGCTGGGGGATTGGGTGGGGGGGGGAGGACAGAGGGGGGTCGAGTTTTACAATTTTCCTTCCCTTATTCAATCAGTTCGGTTCTGCTTCATCTAAAACCTACAAAACATCGCGTGCAAATTTGATTTTCTCATATTAGCAGTTCAAACATTTTTTTTGTTCCTCACTAAGCTAATTTAATTGAACGAACAAGGTCTTGAAAAGGATACAGTTCGTAAACCGAAGCATCACTGCATGTGTGGCATCGATTCAATAACATGCTACCTATTGGTTGAAGGCTCATAGTAAAAAGATAACAATCTTATATAACTAACATTAAAATTATGTTTATAAAGTCGTATAGGAGTATGTTCAAAATTACGTTTTAAACAGCCCTTTGAAATGCATATGTTAAAACTATGTACTTGAGCGCCCGTTGATTTGTAATCGACCAACACAAATATTCGATGCCACCGTATGAGTGCAAGTAATTTTGTAATCGACTAAATCAAACATTAGATGCCGCACCTGGATTTCATTGTTGTATTGCTTAAAGCAAAGTCACAGTTTACAAGAAATGGATTTCCTTAGTACCACAGCTTTCAAATGAAATTTAAAATCATCAAATTAATTAATTAATTAATATAAGCGATCTAGTTTTAATTGGCTAAGCTTAAACATGTCTTGCTTAGTATCGATACTTGTTTATAATCGTGGTCTTCTCTATTTGTCTTCATGATATTGCCAGTAGGTGTCTAATGCTGTTTGAAGTCGCTTCTTAGTTTCAGCTTGCTGGTAATCGAATACATTTCTGTTAAAAAAAAAAACAGGTTATTTCAGTGGCGGAATATGAAAAAAAGGGCCACCCCACAAAATAAAATGTTTGGACACCTTATATATAAAAAGTTGTGTGTATAGTATTGTATTAGTCTGATATAAAGACATTGAAAAACGTTGTGTGGGTAGTGTTGCTGTAATCTGATATAAAACATTGAAAAAGTTGTGTGTATAGTATTGTTGTAGTCTGATATATAGACATTGAAAAAGTTGTGTGTATAGTATTGTTGTAGTGTGATATAAAGAGATTGAAAAAGTTGTGTGTATAGTATTGTTGTAGTCTGATATAAAGACACTGAAAACGTTGTGTGGGTAGTGTCGATGTAGTCTGATGTGAGTGTAGTGTTGTAGAGCCACTGACCTGATACAGAAGAGCCAGAGAATAGCGCTGCCTCTACTCAGGTAAATGTTGCACTCACGGAAACTCACGGGCCCCGATGGTTTACTGGACTGTAGGGTCACCGTGGTTGTAGCTGCCGGTGTGGTTGTCACACTGGCCGTCGTGTAGGATGTAGTAGGTGATGTCGTGTAGGGGATAGTTGACGCCGTTGATGAAGATGTTGTAGTTGTAAGCTTTGTTGTGGCTGTAGTGGGTACTGGTGTGGTAGTTGGAAGTGCAGTGGTTGTGGGCTTTATCGTAGTTGTGGTTGATGATGTAGTTGTGGTAGGGTATGCGGTAGTTGTCGGTTTTGTTGTAGTTGTATAAGGTAGGCCTACTGTAGTTGTTGTGTAGGATGCTGTTGTAGTTGTAGGTTTGGTTGAAGTTGTGGTTGGTACTGCTGTAGTTGTGGTTGGCACTGCTGTAGTTGTAGGCTTTGTTGTAGTTGTAGTTGTGGTTGGTACTGTCGTAGTTGTGGTTGGCACTGCTGTAGTTGTTGGCTTTGTTGTAGTTGTGGTTGGTACTGTCGTAGTTGTGGTTGGCACTGCTGTAGTTGTAGGTTTTGTTGTAGTTGTAGTTGGCACTGCTGTAGTTGTAGGTTTTGTTGTAGTTGTGGTTGGTACTGTTGTAGTTGTGGTTGGTACTGCTGTAGTTGTAGGTCTTGTAGTTGTTGTAGTTGTAGTTGGTACTGTCGTAGTTGTAGGTTTTGTTGTAGTCGTGGTTCGAATGGTTGTAGTTGTAGGTACTGCCGTAGTTGAGTTTACTCTAAGTATGCATTTGCCTGCAACACACCACTGAAAAATTAAAATAAAAGTTGAAGCAATGAAATATTTAGCTGTCCATATTGAACTTAACGTTTTGTCAAGTTAAAAAAAAAAATTAAACTTATCGAAGAACAACCAGGAACTAGGGAGTAGAAGTAAAGAAAACAACGTTTTACGGCACAACTAAAATAAAGATGACTAAATCAATTATCTGAGAACAAAACAAAAGAAGAAAAGTAAGGCAATTAGAACTAAAGATGAGTCATATTAGAACTAGAACAACTGGATATATATATATATATATATATATATATATATATATATATATATATATATATATATATATATATATATATATATATATATATATATATATATATATATATATATATATATATATATATATATATATATGCACAGAAGTCAAGCAATGGAAGGACATTGATTAGAGAGTCCTGCTCTAACCATTTAAGTCAAGCAACAAAAACAAGATGGAAGACAAGCAACACTTATAAACCAAGATGGAAGACAAACGCTTACATAAGAGCTGCCACAAGGTGAGTACTCCTGAGGTATGGTTGTCTGGCAGTAGCCGTCTGGGTCGTTAGGGATGCTGCAGTACATGCCACCACACAGCTGGGCCTCTCCTCCATAGGCCACTTGTACGTTCTGGTGGGGATAGGGGTCATTTAGAGATGTAGTGGTCATTTATAGGTGTAATGGTCATTTGTTTCATAAGTGTAGTGGTCATTTGTTTCTTAAGTGTAGTGGTCATTTGTTTAATAGGTGTAGTGGTCATTTGTTTAATAGGTGTAGTGGTCATTTGTTTAATAGGTGTAGTGGTCATTTATAGGTGTAGTGGTCATTTATAGGTGTAGTCTTCATTTATAGGTGTAGTGGTCATTTGTTTCATAAGTGTAGTGGTCATTTGTTTTATAGGTGTAGTGGTCATTCATAGGTGTAGTGGTCATTTATAGGTGTACTGGTCATTTATAGGTGTAGTGGTCATTTGTTTCATAAGTGTAGTGGTCATTTGTTTAATAGGTGTAGTGGTCATTTGTTTAATAGGTGTAGTGGTCATTTGTTTAATAGGTGTAGTGGTCATTTGTTTAATAGGTGTAAGGGTCATTTGGTTATTAGGTGTAGTTGTCATTTAGATAACAGTTGCAGTGGTCATTTAGATAACAGCTGCAGTGGTCATTTTTACGGTCCATTGATGATGTTTGATTGTCTTGAGATGTCTGTCAATACATTATAGACGCTATGTCGCGTGATGTTGGCCATGTCACGTGACGTTGGCTATGTCACGTGACGTTGGCTATGTCACGTGACGTTGGCTAATTCACGTGACGTTGGCTATGTCACGTGATGTTGGCCATGTCACGTGACGTTGGCTATGTCACGTGACGTTGGCTATGTCACGTGACGTTGGCTATGTCACGTGACGTTGGCTATGTCACGTGACGTTGGCTATGTCACGTGACGTTGGCTATGTCACGTGACGTTGGCTATGTCACGTGACGTTGGCTATGTCACGTGACGTTGGCTATGTCACGTGACCTTGGCCTACCTTGCAGTAGAAGCTGGAGGTGTCTCTGAATGAAAGGCGGCATTGGTCGTCCAGACTCAGGACCTCACCGGGTCGTTGACCCTCTACTGGGGGTGGGAGGGCGTTGGTGATAGACGAGGTCACCTGGGTGCACGTCACGCTAACAAAAGTGGGGGAGACAAGGTAACATACAAGGTCACACAGTGCAAGGTTACATACGGTGTCACACAGTGCAAGGTTTAACTTAAATATTTTAAGCTCGCAAGATGCAAAGAAATAGGACTATAATAAATGCCTGAACAAAAATAGTACAAAGTACTCAAGACTTGATAAAATCACACAAAGTACAGTATAAAGTACTCACGACTTGATAAAATCGCACAGAGTACAGTACAAAGTACGCACGACTTGATAAAATCACACAAACTACAGAGAACGTACAAATGAATTGATAAAATCACACAGTACAGTACAAAGTATTCACGACTTGATAAAATCGCCCAGAGTATAGTACAAAGTACTCACGACTTGATAAAATCACACAAACTACAGTACAAAGTACTCACGACTTGATAAAATCACACAAACTACAGTACAAAGTACTCAAGACTTGATAAAATCACACAGAGAACAGTACAAAGTACTCACGACTTCATAAAATCGCACAGAGCACAGTACAAAGTACTCACGACTTGATAAAATCACACAAACTACAGAGAACGTACTAATGAATTGATAAAATCACACAGTACAGTACAAAGTATTCACGACTTGATAAAATCGCACAGAGTACAGTACAAAGTATTCACGACTTGATAAAATCACACAAACTACAGTACAAAGTACTCAAGACTTGATAAAATCACACAAACTACAGTACAAAGTACTCACGACTTGATAAAATCACACAAACTACAGTACAAAGTGCTCACGACTTGATACAATCACACAAAGTACAGTACAAAGTACTCACGACTTGATAAAATCACACAAAGTACAGTACAAAGTACTCACTACTTGATAAAATCACACAAAGTACAGTACAAAGTAATCACGACTTTATAAAATCACACAAACTACAGTACAAAGTATTCACGACTTGATAAAATCACACAACCTACAGAGAACGTACTCACGACTTGATAAAATGACACAGAGTACAGTACAAAGTACTCACTACTTGATAAAATCACACAAAGTACAGTACAAAGTACTCACGACTTGATAAAATCACATAAAGTACAAAGTACTCACGACTTGAGGTAGGTCTTGATGGCGCTCCTGGAACAGGACGAAAAGGTCCACGGGTTGCCCTCGTTCCCTGGGTCAACTGGCGAGCGGAAGATGGTGGCCATGATGTTCTGGCTGGCGTCAGAGCACACAGACTGGGTGTCGGCATCGTGGATGGCAGACAGGCTGGAGGGAGAGATGTCACGTTAGGTCAGACCATAGGTGGATACAAAGATTTGTGGTAGAGGTGTCACGTTAGGTTAGACAATAGGTGGATACAAGGATTTGTGGGAGATGTGTCACGTTAGGTTAGACAATAGGTGGATGTATGGATTTGTAGGAGAGGTGTCACGTTAGGTCAGACAATAGGTGGATACATGGATTTGTGGGAGAGGTGTCACGTTAGGTCAGACAATAGGTGGATACAAGGATTTGTGGGAGAGATGTCACGTTAGGTCAGACAATAGGTGGATACAAAGATTTGTGGGAGAGGTGTCACGTTAGGTCAGACAATAGGTGGATACAAGGATTTGTGGGAGAGATGTCACGTTAGGTCAGACAATAGGTGGATACAAGGATTTGTGGTAGAGGTGTCACGTTAGGTCAGACAATAGGTGGATACAAAGATTTGTAAGAGAGATGTCACGTTAGGTCAGACAATAGGTGGATACAAGGATTTGTGGTAGAGGTGTCACGTTAGGTCAGACAATATGTGGATACAAGGATTTGTGGGATAGGTGTCACGTTAGGTCAGACAATAGGTGGATACAATGATTTGTGCGAGAGGTGTCACGTTAGGTCAGACAATAGGTGGATACAAGGGTTTGTGGGAGAGGTGTCACGTTAGGTCAGACAATAGGTGGATACAATGATTTGTGGGAGAGGTGTCACGTTAGGTCAGACAATAGGTGGATACAAGGGTTTGTGGAAGAGGTGTCACGTTAGGTCAGACAATAGGTGGATACAAGGATTTGTGGGATAGGTGTCACGTTAGGTCAGACAATATGTGGATACAAGGATTTGTGGGATAGGTGTCACGTTAGGTCAGACAATAGGTGGATACAAGGATTTGTGGGAGAGATGTCACGTTAGGTCAGACAATAGGTGGATACAAGGATTTGTGGGAGAGATGTCACGTTAGGTCAGACAATTGGTGGATACAAGGGTTTGTGGAAGAGGTGTCACGTTAGGTCAGACAATTGGTGGATACAAGGGTTTGTGGAAGAGGTGTCACGTTAGGTCAGACAATAGGTGGATACAAGGATTTGTGGGATAGGTGTCACGTTAGGTCAGACAATATGTGGATACAAGGATTTGTGGGATAGGTGTCACGTTAGGTCAGACAATAGGTGGATACAATGATTTGTGGGAGAGGTGTCACGTTAGGTCAGACAATATGTGGATACAAGGATTTGTGGGATAGGTGTCACGTTAGGTCAGACAATATGTGGATACAAGGATTTGTGGGATAGGTGTCACGTTAGGTCAGACAATTGGTGGATACAAGGGTTTGTGGAAGAGGTGTCACGTTAGGTCAGACAATTGGTGGATACAAGGGTTTGTGGAAGAGGTGTCACGTTAGGTCAGACAATTGGTGGATACATGGATTTGTGGGAGAGGTGTCACGTTAGGTCAGACAATTGGTGGATACAAGGGTTTGTGGAAGAGGTGTCACGTTAGGTCAGACAATTGGTGGATACATGGATTTGTGGGAGAGGTGTCACGTTAGGTCAGACAATTGGTGGATACATGGATTTGTGGGAGAGGTGTCACGTTAGGTCAGACAATTGGTGGATACATGGATTTGTGGGAGAGGTGTCACGTTAGGTCAGACAATAGGTGGATACAAGGGTTTGTGGGAGAGGTGTCACGTTAGGTCAGACAATAGGTGGATACATGGATTTGTGGGAGAGGTGTCACGTTAGGTCAGACAATAGGTGGATACAAGGATTTGTGGGAGAGGTGTCACGATAGCTCAGATAATAGGTGGATACAAGGATTTGTGGGAGAGGTGTCACGTTAGGTCAGACAATAGGTGGATACAAGTATTTGTGGAAGAGGTGTCACGTTAGGTCAGACAATAGGTGGATACATGGATTTGTGGGAGAGGTGTCACGTTAGGTCAGACAATAGGTGGATACCAGGATTTGTGGGAGAGGTGTCACGTTAGGTCAGACAATAGGTGGATACAAAGATTTGTGGGAGAGGTGTCACGTTAGGTCAGACAATAGGTGGATACAAGGATTTGTGGGAGAGGTGTCACGTTAGGTCAGACAATAGGTGGATACATGGATTTGTGGGAGAGGTGTCACGTTAGGTCAGACAATAGGTGGATACAAGGATTTGTGGGAGAGGTGTCACGTTAGGTCAGACAATAGGTGGATACATGGATTTGTGGGAGAGGTGTCACGTTAGGTCAGACAATTGGTGGATACAAGGATTTGTGGGATAGGTGTCACGTTAGGTCAGACAATTGGTGGATACATGGATTTGTGGGAGAGGTGTCACGTTAGGTCAGACAATTGGTGGATACATGGATTTGTGGGAGAGGTGTCACGTTAGGTCAGACAATAGGTGGATACATGGATTTGTGGGAGAGGTGTCACGTTAGGTCAGACAATAGGTGGATACATGGATTTGTGGGAGAGGTGTCACGTTAGGTCAGACAATAGGTGGATACAAGGATTTGTGGGAGAGGTGTCACGTTAGGTCAGACAATAGGTGGATACATGGATTTGTGGGAGAGGTGTCACGTTAGGTCAGACAATAGGTGGATACAATGATTTGTGGGAGAGGTGTCACGTACAGTGTGTTATTTTAAAAGAAAATACTTTCCGATTATTTGATTAGCTAAATGTTTAAATGACCAATGACCCAGATAATTTTATAGAAAGATTTGACTGAGCTGTGACCCAGATGATTTTATAGAAAGATTTGACCTATGACCCAGATGATTTTATAGAAAGATTTGACCTGTGACCCAGATGATTTTATAGAAAGGCTTGACTGAGCTGTGACCCAGATGATTTTATAGAAAGGTTTGACCTGTGACCCAGATGATTTTATAGAAAGATTTGACTGAGCTGTGACCCAGATGATTTTATAGAAAGATTTGACTGAGCTGTGACCCAGATGATTTTATAGAAAGATTTGACTGACCTGTGACCCAGATGATTTTATAGAAAGATTTGACCTATGACCCAGATGATTTTATAGAAAGATTTGACCTGTGACCCAGATGATTTTATAGAAAGGCTTGACTGAGCTGTGACCCAGATGATTTTATAGAAAGGTTTGACCTGTGACCCAGATGATTTTATAGAAAGATTTGACCTGTGACCCAGATGATTTTATAGAAAGGTATGACTGACCTGTGACCCAGTTCGTGGGCCGCCACACCTGAGACAGTGCCTGTAAAGCTGTTCTCTGTGATTGACACCCCGTTCTTTGTGCACGTTCTGGCGCTGTAAGCGATGCCGGAGGCCCCGATAATGTCAAGTCTGTAAGTGGACAGTGTGTGACGTGTCAAGTAAGTGGACAGTGTGACGTGTCAAGTTAGTGGACAGTGTGTGACGTGTCAAGTAAGTGGACAGTGTGTGACGTGTCAAGTAAGTGAACAGTGTGTGACGTGTCAAGTAAGTGGACAGTGTGTGACGTGTCAAGTAAGTGGACAGTGTGTGACGTGTCAAGTAAGTGGACAGTGTGTGATGTGTGGTGGATATCTAAGTGAGTCAGACCTTCAGTTCTTACTGCAGTAAATGTGAGTGACCTACCCTGTAAACAGCATGTAGTGGTCACTTGCTGGAATGTCCGTCTGGTTCTGGTACCAGTTGGCCAGGACCTGGAGACCTGTGGTGCCACTGAACTGACCACTTGTGGTGATGTCTTTGATGAATTTGTCGTCGGTGGGATTCTGTCGAGGTCATTCAAAGTTAGCTGCCACAGTATTGTACAGATTCTATCGTGACAATATAGGACAGATTCTACCGTGACAGTATTGTACAGATTCTACCTTGATAGTATTGTACAGATTCTACCGTGACAGTATTGTACAGATTCTACCGTGACAGTATTGTACAGATTCTACCGTGACAGTATTATACAGAATCTACCGTGACAGTATTGTACAGATTCTACCGTGACAGTGTTACAGATTCTACCGTGACAGTATTATACAGAATCTACCGTGACAGTATTGTACAAATTCTAACGTGACAGTATTGTACAGATTCTACCGTGACAGTGTTACAGATTCTACCGTGACACTACCGTACAGATTCTACCGTGACAGTATTGTACAGATTCTACCGTGACTCAACTTACTGTTAATATTTTGAGAACTGTAACAGATGTGCTCACTGCTATTTCTGTGTCTTGGATTGACTGGTACCGGATGTTCAGCTGTTTGGAAGGATATTTAATTACTTTTTGTTGTAATATTAATTTGATTATTCATTCTATTTAGTTGTTTCTTTGTTTTCGTTTCAAAAACAGGTCATTGAGTTGCTTAACAACAGTTTTCCTTTTGATGACTAAATGAAACAATTTTACGAAATTTCGTGAAATCGTAAAATTGTTTCATTAAGTTATCAAAAGGAAAAAATAGGAAAAGAGGATGACACCTTAGCGATTATGCAAAATTGTTGAAAAAGGATGGGGTGACACCATCATATAACCTGAGGGTGACACCCGACCCGGTGACGCAACTGCTTCAAACCTCCCAACCCTGTCAAGTCTCACCTGAACCAACCCTGTCAAGTCTCACCTGAACCAACCCTGTCAAGTTTCCCCTGAACCAACCCTGTCAAGTTTCACCTGAACTAACCCTGTCAAGTTTCACCTGAACCAACCCTGTCAAGTTTCACCTGAACTAACCCTGTCAAGTTTCCCCTAAACCAACCCTGTCAAGTTTCCCCTAAACCAACCCTGTCAAGTTTCCACTGAACCAACCCTGTCAAGTTTCCCCTGAACCAACCCTGTCAAGTTTCCCCTAAACCAACCCTGTCAAGTTTCCACTGAACCAACCCTGTCAAGTTTCCACTGAACCAACCCTGTCAAGTTTCCCCTGAACCAACCCTGTCAAGTTTCCCCTGAACCAACCCTGTCAAGTTTCCCCTAAACCAACCCTGTCAAGTTTCCCCTGAACCAACCCTGTCAAGTTTCCCCTAAACCAACCCTACAGTTACGAGAACTCACCGCTGCAGCAACATAGGTGTACCAGAGCCTCATCTGAGCCAGCGCTTGTGTAGAGCCGTAGTAGCTGACAAACCTGCAGTAGACAGACAAGATGTCTAGAAAGGCAAGATAACATGTCTAGACAGACATGACATGATGTCAAGACAGACATGATATGTAGACAGACATGATGTCTTGACAGACAACATGTCTAGACAGGCATGATATCTAGACAGGCATGATATCTAGACAGACAAGATAACACGTCTAGACAGGTTTATTGTGTGTCAACTAGATAAGATTTAAAACCTGTAGGTTTGTTGTGTGTATACAAGAAAAGATTTAAAACCTGTAGGTTTATGAACGTGCTAGAACCTGCTGGTGCCACTGACCTGCTGTAGTCCGTGTTGTCCACTACCATGGCGACCTCGATGTTGTGCTGGGTCAGTGCCCGCTTGTGTCTGGAACTGGCGCCTGGTTTATCCACACGTCTCCGTTTGTTTACCTCTGGCCTCTCTAAAGGGCGATAACAACAAAGTGATTGGTTAAATGTGTGGGCGTTTGGTTTATAGAGACAATACAGATACTTTGTAATATGTGTCTTGTTTAATGCCTGGGAAATTCGTATTTGTGTTAAAAATAGCGTTTTATTTTTTGGACAACCACAACCATCATGTTAGCAGTTAAAATACAGAAAAAAATACATTGGTATATCAGCCAACTGACCTTGAGTGTCTTCCACCACGTCCCCAACGAATGAGATGGTCTCGTTGTGAACCCTGACTGGCTTTATCGTGTGGACGTCTCTCTTGCTTCTACCTGAGGGTGCAAGGTCCCACTCCTTGTTCTTGTGAACAAATGTTCCTATCTAGGTTTGTGGTCAAAATATTTGGTATTAGAAGAAATGTTCCTGTCTAGTTTTGTGGTCAAAATATTTGGTATTAGAAGAAATGTTCCTGTCTAGGTTTGTGGTCAATACATTTGGTATTAGAAGAAATGTTCCTGTCTAGTTTTGTGGTCAATACATTTGGTATTAGAACAAATGTTCCTATACAGAAGAAATATTAGAAGAAATATTCCTGTGAAAAACTCACCAGCTGGTAGTCGCCTCCCCTTCTCTCAACAATCAGTGCTGACTTGAGTTGTTGGTCTGTGTACACGCCAGTGTCCTGTGGGATCACACACTTTCATTTACAACGGGTTGGACTAACTTCTAACAACGGTTTGGACTAACTTCTAACAACGGGTTGGACTAACCTCAAACAACGGGTTGGACTAACTTCTAACAACGGGTTGGACTAACCTCAAACAACGGGTTGGACTAACTTCTAACAACGGGTTGGACTAACCTCAAACAACGGGTTGGACTAACTTCTAACAACGGGTTGGACTAACTTCTAACAACGGGTTGTACCAACCTCGAGCAGCTGGTTGGCTGTGTGAGTGCTCTCCGGGTCACTGGTTATAACTCTGAGTGCCTCAGTCCTCACAAGCCGGAGTTTGACGTGCTCCTGGTTTAGAGGCAGGTGAAACAGAAGCTGGTCTGGTAAGTTAGAGTCAGCTGACCGCTTGTGTCGGGTCATGGGGTCGAATCTCTCTGAGAGCAGGGTCAAGGTGACCTCCATGTCTTCTGTCGTGTTGGACGTTGAAATAAATTACTATTTAATTAGATTTTAAGAATAGAGAAGACATTAGTACATTCATTACTAGAACATTCCATAGTCGGCGGCTTGTACAGGGAGACTGGCTGATACTTTTCTACCGCAAGTTTCTGGTCCTGGGTGGGTGGTCTCATAACGGTTACTAGAGTCACGTCATAGACACGTTTGGGGGGGGGGGGGGGCTTAATACCACGTTGGTGATGTCACGGGGGTCTACACCACAAAGTAAAGTGTGGGGGTCTACACCACATAGTTGAAGTGTGGGGTCTACACCACATAGTTGAAGTGTGGGGGTCTACACCACATAGTTGAAGTGTGGGGTCTACACCACATAGTTGAAGTGTGGGGTCTACACCACATAGTTGAAGTGTGGGGGTCTACACCACATAGTTGAAGTGTGGGGGTCTACACCACATAGTTGAAGTGTGGGGTCTACACCACATAGTTGAAGTGTGGGGTCTACACCACATAGTTGAAGTGTGGGGGTCTACACCACATAGTTGAAGTGTGGGGGTCTACACCACATAGTTGAAGTGTGGGGTCTACACCACATAGTTGAAGTGTGGGGTCTACACCACATAGTTGAAGTGTGGGGGTCTACACCACATAGTTGAAGTGTGGGGGTCTACACCACATAGTTGAAGTGTGGGGTCTACACCATATAGTTGAAGTGTGGGGGTCTACACCACATAGTTGAAGTGTGGGGGTCTACACCACATAGTTGAAGTGTGGGGGTCTACACCACATAGTTAAAGTGTGGGGTCTACACCACATAGTTGAAGTGTGGGGTCTACACCACATAGTTGAAGTGTGGGGGTCTACACCACATAGCTGAAGTGTGGGGGTGTACACCACATAGCTGAAGTGTGGGGGTCTACACCACATAGCTGAAGTGTGGGGGTCTACACCACAAAGTTAAAGTGTGGGTCGCCACCTTGGAGGTCAAGCTAAACACCTGATCTAGTGGGGACAGGATTAAATCCCATACATTGTACAGTGCCAAACATTGATCAGGTCCGAGTCGTTTGTTTGTCTTGTAGACGGTTCCAGGTAAGTAAACACAGGTCAGGTGTATCGAGGTCATGTCTGAGGTCAGTCCACTTCTAGGTGTCACACTAGGTTTATGGTCAATACATTTGGTATTAGAACAAATGTTCCTGTCTAGGCTTGTTGTCAATGCGAGCATGAATAGAACATGGGCTTTTGTCTCTAGGCTTTGTCTGTGGGCTTATGTTTAATACGTGCCACTTGACTCACACGATCAAGCGTCTGTGTGGAGTGGTGAGCGGTCGGCACACGGGGCAAATGTGTTGGCTGTAGCTCGTGAGTGACATGAATGGTGACACGAATGGTATTGGGTGGTGACACCAATGGTGTTGGGTGGTGACACGAATGGTGGAGGGTGGTGACACGAATGGTGGAGGGTGGCGACACGACGTATGTTGGGTGACATGAATGGTGTTGGATGGTGACACGAATGGTGGAGGTGTGATGACACGAATGGTGTTGGATGGTGACACGAATGGTGGAGGTGTGGTGACACGAATGGTATTGGGTGGTGATAAGAATGGTGGAGGGTGGTGACACGAATGGTGGAGGGTGGTGACACGAATGGTGGAGGTGTGGTGACACGAATGGTGGAGGGTGGTGACACGAATGGTGGAGGTGTGGTGACACGAATGGTGGAGGGTGGTGACACGAATGGTGGAGGGTGGTGACACGAATGGTGGAGGTGTGGTGACACGAATGGTGGAGGGTGGTGACACGAATGGTGGAGGGTGGCGACACGACGTATGTTGGGTGACATGAATGGTGTTGGATGGTGACACGAATGGTGGAGGTGTGATGACACGAATGGTGTTGGATGGTGACACGAATGGTGGAGGTGTGGTGACACGAATGGTATTGGGTGGTGATAAGAATGGTGGAGGGTGGTGACACGAATGGTGGAGGGTGGTGACACGAATGGTGGAGGTGTGGTGACACGAATGGTGGAGGGTGGTGACACGAATGGTGGAGGTGTGGTGACACGAATGGTGGAGGGTGGTGACACGAATGGTGGAGGGTGGTGACACGAATGGTGGAGGTGTGGTGACACGAATGGTGGAGGGTGGTGACACGAATGGTGGAGGGTGGTGACACGAATGGTGTTGGGTGGTGATAAGAATGGTGGAGGGTGGTGACACGAATGGTGGAGGTGTGGTAACACGAATGGTGGAGGGTGGTGACACGAATGGTGGAGGGTGGTGACACGAATGGTGTTGGGTGGTGACACGAATGGTGGTAGGTGGTGATACGAATGGTGGAGGTGTGGTGACACGAATGGTGGAGGGTGGTGACACGAATGGTGGAGGGTGGTGACACGAATGGTGTTGGGTGGTGATAAGAATGGTGGAGGGTGGTGACACGAATGGTGGAGGTGTGGTAACACGAATGGTGGAGGGTGGTGACACGAATGGTGGAGGGTGGTGACACGAATGGTGTTGGGTGGTGACACGAATGGTGGTAGGTGGTGATACGAATGGTGGAGGTGTGGTGACACGAATGGTGGAGGGTGGTGACACGAATGGTGTTGGGTGGTGACACCAAATTATCTTGACCGTAATTAACGAGGTTTTAAAAAGTTAACGTTTAGTTAGGATCAACATATTGGGCATGATAGGACGGTGTTTAATAGGGCGGTGTTTAATAAGGCGGTGTTTGATAGGGCGGTGTTTAAGTCTGGTGTTACCTTACATGACCCCGCCCCTGAAATCACAAAGATGATTATCATGCAGCAATGTGACGTGTTGTGTGACACCGTGACAGAGTATGTGACAGTTTGTTCCCTGTAAACAAGCTGTTTTCTGCCCTGCTAATAAATTATTCTCAAAGATAATTATGGCATGTAGAAAGACAGTTTTGTAGCATAGCATTTACTTCAACTGTATGTTAGTCTGGTATATTAGCATAGCATTTACTTCAACTGTATGTTAGTCTGGTATATTAGCATAGCATTTACTTCAACTGTATGTTAGTCTGGTATATTTGCATAGCATTTACTTCAACTGTATGTTAGTCTGGTATATTAGCATAGCATTTACTTCAACTGAATGTTAGTCTGGTATATTAGCATAGCATTTACTTCAACTGTATGTTAGTCTGGTATATTAGCATAGCATTTACTTCAACTGTATGTTAGTCTGGTATATTTGCATAGCATTTACTTCAACTGTATGTTAGTCTGGTATATTAGCATAGCATTTACTTCAACTGGATGTTAGTCTGGTATATTAGCATAGCATTTACTTCAACTGGATGTTAGTCTGGTATATTAGCATAGCATTTACTTCAACTGGATGTTAGTCTGGTATATTAGCATAGCATTTACTTCAACTGTATGTTAGTCTGGTATATTAGCATAGCATTTACTTCAACTGTATGTTAGTCTGGTATATTAGCATAGCATTTACTTCAACTGTATGTTAGTCTGGTATATTAGCATAGCATTTACTTCAACTGGATGTTAGTCTGGTATATTAGCATAGCATTTACTTCAACTGGATGTTAGTCTGGTATATTAGCATAGCATTTACTTCAACTGTATGTTAGTCTGGTATATTAGCATAGCATTTACTTCAACTGTATGTTAGTCTGGTATATTAGCATAGCATTTACTTCAACTGGATGTTAGTCTGGTATATTAGCATAGCATTTACTTCAACTGTATGTTAGTCTGGTATATTAGCATAGCATTTACTTCAACTGTATGTTAGTCTGGTATATTAGCATAGCATTTACTTCAACTGGATGTTAGTCTGGTATATTAGCATAGCATTTACTTCAACTGTATGTTAGTCTGGTATATTAGCATAGCATTTACTTCAACTGTATGTTAGTCTGGTATATTAGCATAGCATTTACTTCAACTGGATGTTAGTCTGGTATATTAGCATAGCATTTACTTCAACTGGATGTTAGTCTGGTATATTAGCATAGCATTTACTTCAACTGTATGTTAGTCTGGTATATTAGCATAGCATTTACTTCAACTGTATGTTAGTCTGGTATATTAGCATAGCATTTACTTCAACTGGATGTTAGTCTGGTATATTAGCATAGCATTTACTTCAACTGTATGTTAGTCTGGTATATTAGCATAGCATTTACTTCAACTGTATGTTAGTCTGGTATATTAGCATAGCATTTACTTCAACTGGATGTTAGTCTGGTATATTAGCATAGCATTTACTTCAACTGTATGTTAGTCTGGTATATTAGCATAGCATTTACTTCAACTGTATGTTAGTCTGGTATATTAGCATAGCATTTACTTCAACTGTATGTTAGTCTGGTATATTAGCATAGCATTTACTTCAACTGGATGTTAGTCTGGTATATTAGCATAGCATTTACTTCAACTGGATGTTAGTCTGGTATATTAGCATAGCATTTACTTCAACTGTATGTTAGTCTGGTATATTAGCATAGCATTTACTTCAACTGGATGTTAGTCTGGTATATTAGCATAGCATTTACTTCAACTGTATGTTAGTCTGGTATATTAGCATAGCATTTACTTCAACTGTATGTTAGTCTGGTATATTAGCATAGCATTTACTTCAACTGGATGTTAGTCTGGTATATTAGCATAGCATTTACTTCAACTGTATGTTAGTCTGGTATATTAGCATAGCATTTACTTCAACTGTATGTTAGTCTGGTATATTAGCATAGCATTTACTTCAACTGGATGTTAGTCTGGTATATTAGCATAGCATTTACTTCAACTGTATGTTAGTCTGGTATATTAGCATAGCATTTACTTCAACTGTATGTTAGTCTGGTATATTAGCATAGCATTTACTTCAACTGGATGTTAGTGTGGTATATTAGCATAGCATTTACTTCAACTGGATGTTAGTCTGGTATATTAGCATAGCATTTACTTCAACTGTATGTTAGTCTGGTATATTAGCATAGCATTTACTTCAACTGTATGTTAGTCTGGTATATTAGCATAGCATTTACTTCAACTGTATGTTAGTCTGGTATATTAGCATAGCATTTACTTCAACTGGATGTTAGTCTGGTATATTAGCATAGCATTTACTTCAACTGTATGTTAGTCTGGTATATTAGCATAGCATTTACTTCAACTGTATGTTAGTCTGGTATATTAGCATAGCATTTACTTCAACTGTATGTTAGTCTGGTATATTAGCATAGCATTTACTTCAACTGGATGTTAGTCTGGTATATTAGCATAGCATTTACTTCAACTGGATGTTAGTCTGGTATAGATGGGACAGTGAAATCAGCCGCTTATGGTTGTACACACAGAACGTTGTAGTGGGATTGGTGGCTTACTCTCATAGGCACAGTCTTATCGTTCTACGTCAGTGAGAGAATGATGCAAAATGTCATTGGCCATATTTCACTGGCCAAATATCACTGACCAAATGTCACTGGCCCAATGTCACTGGACTGGCCCAATGCAACTGGCCAAATGTCACTGGCCCAATGCAACTGGCCAAATGTCACTGGCCCAATGTCACTGGCTAAATGTTACTGGCCCAATGTCACTGGCCCAATGTAACTGGTCAAATGTCACTGGCCCAATGCAACTGGCCAAATGTCACTGGCCCAATGTCACTGGCTAAATGTTACTGGCCAAATGTCACTGGCCCAATGTAACTGGTCAAATGTCACTGGCCCAATGCAACTGGCCAAATGTCACTGGCCCAATGTCACTGGCTAAATGTCACTGGCTAAATGTCACTGGCCAAATGTCACTGGCCCAATGTAACTGGTCAAATGTCACTGGCCCAATGTAACTGGCCAAATGTCACTAGCCAATTGCCACTGGTAAAATGTCAGAATACAAATTATAACGCATTTATTTTGATACCTATTTTATTTACCTTAAATTTAAAAAAAAATAGCATTCACTTTATGTACATCAATTTACACTAAACTAAAACAAGTGTTATTGTCTTACCTGAGGTAGATGAGATTGGTGACGAGGTAGAGAAACTTGAAAACCAAAATAAAATGGCAATGTTGAAAAGTTGGCTCAACATTTGGATTTATTAGAACCTTCAGACTACTAAAAAATTGTGCGCTCAACTTCAAAACTCTTTGATAAAAAACTTCAAAACAGTCTGCAGAGATTCAAAATACAATGTCTATTAATTTAGTATATTTTGTTAGACGTGAATCCTAAAAGTGTTTGTTGTTCAAAATAAATTCTTAGTGAATTCAACTTACCGTGTTTTCGGCCTTTTATACCCTTTTGCCAAAATTAGTAACATAAAGGTTTAGTAGGTCACGGATTCCCACTACGTCATTTTTTAATGAAACCCAAGCCTCGGTTTGGAGAATGTTGAATCACGTTTGTGGATAATAACACTCGAATATTGAGGTCAAACGGAATGCGTCATTGTGTTTTTAATATCCCGGTTTATTAAAATGAGTGCTGCGTTGTTTTACGAAAAGGTGGGCGGGTCACACGACTTGATGGCCGCGGGACATTGTTGTTTGAGGCGTAGAAAATTCGAACGTTCGAATCGTGTAAGAACAAGGTAGATAAGAGCAAATTGTTTTGTAAGCTGGGTATGTTAATGTTGTTTGGCCGGAAATTCAATCGGGATGAGACAAGGTAGGGATTAGTATGGTGGGTTTTTACTGGGATAAGTAACTCAAGGATAAGGTTTAAGGTTAAAGTCGTGGAGCTTTTTGTCAGTAAAAAAACAAAACAAAGTACGCAAGAACTGGTAAATCGTGATTGAGTAAAAGGCGGCAACTTTAGTTTTCGTAAGGGAGGTTCGGGTAGGTCTAAGGACGGTGCCAGATAAAAATGCAAATTACACGGAGGTCACTTGAACTTGTGGTGTTTCAGCTAATTAAGGTGAAGGCCGTGAGCACGCACAGCCGTGAACTGGAAGCACCTCGAAAAGTGCATTTCCAGGTGAGAGGGTCGTGAGGTACGTGACGTGTTGTACTCTGGCATGCTGGGATGGTCAGACATCCGGGTACACGGGGCGAGCACTGCATGGCCCTAACTGCTCACCAACTGGTGGCCAGGTGCTCACCATCTGGTGGCCAGGTGCTCACCATCTGGTGGCCAGGTGCTCACCATCTGGTGACAAGCAGAATGGTTGTGGTGTCACCTGGTGGTGCGTGGGGTGGGGTGGTGCAGGTTATATAGGGCCGTTAACTGATGTCATGAGCATCATATGATATCAACTATGTTCTATTTGTCACTGTTCTGTTTTATATGTCTTTGTTATATGTTCTATTTGTCACTGTTCTGTTTTATGTCTTTGTTAAATGTTCTATTTGTCACTGTTCTATGTTCTATGTTTTATGTCACTGTTCTATGTGTCACTGTTCTATGTTCTATGTTTCACTATTCTATGTTCTATGTGTCACTGTTCTGTGTGTCACGTGGTCCCACGCTAGTCTCCCCCCTTACCCCACCACACTGACGCCAAGACTGAACCACACAATAGCCCGACTGGTCCTTAGACTGACAGGGCGATGTTTAACTTTGGTGTTTGAACTCAAGCACTCTTCAACTCTTTCAGCGAACGTTCAAGAGGTTAGAACACTGGGTGTTCTGGTTGTTGGTCTATGTCAGCAGTGCCACGTACTGGGGGTAATTAATTCTAGCATCAACGGCCGTCAGGAAATGAATGGCTTTCTTTACTTTAAGATGGCTTTTCTAGTGCAAGAATTTACCACAATTTGATCCTGGCTTTGTCTTGGGTTAGTCAACGATACAGCTGCCTATATGTGGGACGTTATTCAACGCTACAGCGTGCCTATAGGTGGGACGTTATTCAACGATACAGCGACCTATATGTGGGACGTTATTCAACGATACAGCGTGTCTATAGGTGGGACGTTATTCAACGATACAGCGACCTATATGTGGGACGTTATTCAACGATACAGCGACCTATATGTGGGACGTTATTCAACGATACAGCGACCTATATGTGGGACGTTATTCAACGATACAGCTGCCTATAGGTGGGACGTTATTCAACGATACAGCTGCATATAGAGGGACGTTATTCAACGATACAGCGAGACGATGTTATCACCCATCACGCCATTAAAGAGTTTAAATACTTCACTATGAAATGGGGAGGGTTATCTCTTCAGCCGGCAGTGCCGTCTAGTGGTGATCTCTTCAGCCGGCAGTGCTGTCTAGTGGTGATCTCTTCAGCCGGCAGTGCCGTCTAGTGGTGATCTCTTCAGCCGGCAGTGCTGTCTAGTGGTGATCTCTTCAGCCGGCAGTGCTGTTTAGAGTTGAAGCAACGCCCGGTTGGGCAAAATGATGGCAGAATTTCTCAAGGTCATTGGACAATTAGATTTATCGACAGCTCTGTTGTTCTAACCACACCATTCTAACCACACCATTCTAACCACACCATTCTAACCACACCATTCTAACCACACCATTCTAACCACACCATTCTAACCACACCATTCTAACCACACCATTCTAACCACACCATTCTAACCACACCATTCTAACCACACCATTCTAACCACACCATTCTAACCACACCATTCTAACACCACCACGATGACGAGTGTGGTGTACTGAACAATCTACCGACTGATCTATGTCCCGTGTTCACTCAGGCAGAACACTAAGTCCCCCAAAACAATGAGTTCAGTCAAGCGTGAAGAGAGTATTAGCTGGGTTAGCGACTGGAAAACTGCGCGGAAATTGTGGATTAGGTTTGGTGGTGGTGGGGTGGTGTGGTGGTGGTGGGGTGGTGGGGTGGTGGGGTGGTGGTGGGGTGGTGAGGTGGTGGGGTGGTAGTAGTGGTGGGGTGGTGGGGTGGTTGTGGAGTGGTGGGGTGGTGGTGGGGTGGTGAGGTGGTGGGGTGGTAGTGGTGGAGTGGTGGTGGGGTGGTGGGGTGGTTGTGGAGTGGTGGCGTGGTGGTGGGGTGGTGGGGTGGTGGTTAGGTGGTAGGTTGGTGGGGTGGGGTGGTGGTGGTGGTGGTGGGGTGGTGGTGGTGGGGTGGTGGTGGGGTGGTGGTGGTGGAGTGGTGGGGTGGTGGTGGGGTGGTGGGGTGGTGGTGGGGTGGTGGGGTGGTGGTGGGGTGGTGAGGTGGTGGGGTGGTGGTGGTGGAGTGGTGGGGTGGTGGTGGGGTGGTTGTGGAGTGGTGGGGTGGCGGTGGGGTGGTGGTGGGGTGGGGTGGTGGTTAGGTGGTAGGTTGGTGGAGTGGGGTGGTGGTGGTGGTGGGGTGGTGGGGTGGTGGTGGTGGGGTGAGGTGGTGGTAGGGTGGTAGGTTGGTGGGGTGGTGGTGGTGGTGGGGTGGTGGTGGTGGTTGTGGTGGGGTGGTGGGGTGGGGTGGGTGGGGTGGTAGGGTGGTGGTGGGGTGGTGGTGGTTGTGGTGGGGTGGTGGTGGTGGGGTGGGGTGGTAGGGTGGTGGGGTGGTAGGGTGGTGGGGTGGTAAGGTGGTGGGGTGTTAGGGTGGTGGGGTGGTAGGGTGGTAGGGTGGTGTGGGGGTGGGGGTGGAGGGGTGGAGTGGTAAAGTGGTGGTGCGGTGGTGCGGTGGTGGAGTGGTGGTGGAGAGGTGGAGGGTGGGGTGGTCGAGTGGTGGCGTGGTAGTTGGTGGAGTGGTGGAAAGGTGCAGTTGTGGTGTGATAAACTTGTTCGTGGAGTGGTGGAACGGTGGGGTGGTGGGGTGGAGTGGAATATTGTTTACTTTATTGAATGGTGAATGAAGCAGAGATATTGTTTAATTTAAAAACGCCATAACGAAAGCATCTATTGGTGTGAATTAAAAAGATACCAAACTATAAATTGTAAGTACGGACGTCCTTAGATTTGAGTAACGGTGTAAACAAACGTTTAAATGTAAGTGCCAGATATCATCTTCAAACAATCCAACTAGATGTACATCAGCTAATACACACTGGCGTATCAAACAATCCCAACTAGATGTACATCAGCTAATACACAGTGGCGTATCAAACAATCCCAACTAGATGTACATCAGCTAATACACAGTGGCGTATCAAACAATCCCAACTAGATGTACATCAGCTAATACACAGTGACGTATCAAACAATCCCAACTAGATGTACATCAGCTAATACACACTGGCGTATCAAACAATCCCAACTAGATGTACATCAGCTAATACACACTGGCGTATCAAACAATCCCAACTAGATGTACATCAGCTAATACACACTGGCGTATCAAACAATCCCAACTAGATGTACATCAGCTAATACACAGTGGCGTATCAAACAATCCCAACTAGATGTACATCAGCTAATACACAGTGGCGTATCAAACAATCCCAACTAGATGTACATCAGCTAATACACAGTGGCGTATCAAACAATCCCAACTAGATGTACATCAGCTAATACACAGTGGCGTATCAAACAATCCCAACTAGATGTACATCAGCTAATACACAGTGGCGTATCAAACAATCCCAACTAGATGTACATCAGCTAATACACAATGGCATATCAAACAATCCCAACTAGATGTACATCAGCTAATACACAGTGGCGTATCAAACAATCCCAACTAGATGTACATCAGCTAATACACAGTGGCGTATCAAACAATCCCAACTAGATGTACATCAGCTAATACACAGTGGCGTATCAAACAATCCCAACTAGATGTACATCAGCTAATACACAGTGGCGTATCAAACAATCCCAACTAGATGTACATCAGCTAATACACACTGGCGTATCAAACAATCCCAACTAGATGTACATCAGCTAATACACAGTGGCGTATCAAACAATCCCAACTAGATGTACATCAGCTAATACACAGTGGCGTATCAAACAATCCCAACTAGATGTACATCAGCTAATACACACTGGCGTATCAAACAATCCCAACTAGATGTACATCAGCTAATACAAATGGCGTATCAAACAATCCCAACTAGATGTACATCAGCTAATACACACTGGCGTATCAAACAATCCCAACTAGATGTACATCAGCTAATACACAGTGGCGTATCAAACAATCCCAACTAGATGTACATCAGCTAATACACAGTGGCGTATCAAACAATCCCAACTAGATGTACATCAGCTAATACACACTGGCGTATCAAACAATCCCAACTAGATGTACATCAGCTAATACACACTGGCGTATCAAACAATCCCAACTAGATGTACATCAGCTAATACACACTGGCGTATCAAACAATCCCAACTAGATGTACATCAGCTAATACACAGTGGCGTATCAAACAATCCCAACTAGATGTACATCAGCTAATACACAGTGGCGTATCAAACAATCCCAACTAGATGTACATCAGCTAATACACACTGGCGTATCAAACAATCCCAACTAGATGTACATCAGCTAATACACACTGGCGTATCAAACAATCCCAACTAGATGTACATCAGCTAATACACAGTGGCGTATCAAACAATCCCAACTAGATGTACATCAGCTAATACACACTGGCGTATCAAACAATCCCAACTAGATGTACATCAGCTAATACACAGTGGCGTATCAAACAATCCCAACTAGATGTACATCAGCTAATACACACTGGCGTATCAAACAATCCCAACTAGATGTACATCAGCTAATACACACTGGCGTATCAAACAATCCCAACTAGATGTACATCAGCTAATACACACTGGCGTATCAAACAATCCCAACTAGATGTACATCAGCTAATACACACTGGCGTATCAAACAATCCAACTAGATGTACATCAGCTAATACACAGTGGCGTATCAAACAATCCCAACTAGATGTACATCAGCTAATACACACTGGCGTATCAAACAATCCAACTAGATGTACATCAGCTAATACACAGTGGCGTATCAAACAATCCCAACTAGATGTACATCAGCTAATACACACTG